ATTTATTTGCTAAGGTTTTATTTTGTAGACTTGTTTGAAATAAAGTGATAATCAGGACTTAGAAGTGGAAGTTTTATTTTAGATGCTGGTGATTAGGAAGAAGGATAATGTGAACTGGTCAAAAATATGAATTATGGAATATCTTTAGAACATTCAACTTTTAGGTAACTTAATTTTGTTGTAATTTCATACTTAGAGAAAAGTTGTAAGAATAATATGAGGAACCTTTATATGCCCTTTATCTTGATTCATTATTTGTTTTGTGCCAATTTGCCTTATTCTTTGTCTTATCCTAGCCTGGTCAACCTAATACCACCAGGAATAAGCCTGTAGTATAATAACCTTAAGTTTATGGATTCATTGCAATGAGAGAGACTGCATAACAGAGGAACAACGGGGCTTCTCACTAAACAAAGGATTGTAAGCCTAAAGAGTAAGGTAGCATTTAGATGAAATTTAAATGAAGCAGTGTTTTAATAGACTCAAAGCTAAGCCAGGGCTGTGTGTAAAGGAGTTAACATCAGATCTGGCCTACAGAGTGGATCCAGAATCTTGTTTCCTTGGAATCTAAAAAATTAAGAGAGATGAGGAATGTCGTGTTCAGAAAGACCATATCTGAATCTACATCTGTTATAAGTCTAGATTTCTTCTTTGTATCAAAGTTGCTTAGATCCTCCCAGCAAAAATAGGATATTTCAGGTTTTCTCATGTCCCTTTCTAGTCATTTCTCCAGACAAGCATTGTTCTGATATTTTTCATGATAGAATAGTCTTGCCTGTCCTTAAACTTTGTATGAATGGAATCATGTATTTGGGTAGTATGTAGTTTCTTTTGCTTAGCATAATGTCTGTTAGATTTGTCTGTTTTATTGCCATCTTCCATCAGTTCCTTTTCAGTGCTGAATAGTATTGCATTGTACCAGTAGACATACTAGAATTTGTTTATTTTCTTGTTAATGGACTTGTGGGTTTCTAGTTTGGGGGCATCATGGGAAAGGCTGCTATGAAAATTCTTGTGTTTAATTTTCTGTGGACTTGCTTTTATTTCTCTTAGATAAATTTCAGGTATAAAGTTCTTGCATCAAAGGGTAGGTGCATAGTTATATGGTTAACTTTTAAGAAACTGCCAGAACTTTTCAAAATGAATTTTCCATTTTATAGTCCCCCATAAATTGCAGACAACAGTTTGTGAGGGTTCCCTATTTGCTTCATTTCTTTTCCAGTGTTTGGTGTTGATAGTCTTTTTAATTTTAGCCATTCTTGTGGTATGAAGTAGTCTTTCATAGTGGTTTTAATTTGCATTATCCTAATTACCAATAAAGTTGAATATCTTTTCATTTGTTTATTGGCCATTCCTATATCTTCCTTTGTAAAGTATCTGTTCATGTCTTTTGCCTATTTCTTTTATTGGATTGTCTTTATATTTTAGAATTATTGAAGTTCTTTATGTATGTATTGTAGATACAAGTCATTGTCACATACATCTTTTAAAATATTTCCTTCCAATCTGTAACATGTATAGTCACTTACTTAGTGGTGTCTTTTGATGAATGGAAACTTTTAATTTTGAAAGTTAATTTTGAAATATAATTTATTAACTTTTTTCATTAGTTAAATGTCTCCTGTCTCCTGAGAAACTTCTACCTATCTCCAAGTAATGAAGATATTCTGTGTTTTAAAACTTTTGTGGTTTTAACTTTTACATTTAGATCTGTGACCCATCTGAGATTAGTTTTGTTTATGGTATGAAGTATGGGTGAAGGTTCACTTATTTTCCATAGTATATACAGTTTTTCCAATATCATTTGTTTAAAAGATTTTCTTTTCCTCCATTGAATTGCTTTGATGTTTCTGTTGAAAATCAAATGACTGAAAAAGTTTGGATCTATTTCTATTAATAGGATCCATTGGTCTATGTGGAATAGTGTGCATGTGCATTAATAGACTTGAAAAAACCATATAAAGTGCTTATTAGATATTGACATACATAGGAAAAACCTTTCCCATTCATGTATTGATAGCATCTTGAATCTTCTTTGTGATTGCCTTGTAGCCAATGATATTTGGAGGCTTTTTAGCATGGTCCTCTATGTATGCCAGTGCTACTTTTTGTGTCATGTGAGACTAAAGCTCACATTCTTATTCTTTTATATTCATCTGTAAAGAGAAGGCGCTCATTTAGTACAGAATTCTAAAGCTGGCAACTAGCAAGAAACCTCAGAAACCTTTTTTTAAGTAAAATGGTTGTTTGTACATATATTATACAGATCTAGACACAGACCCTTGGCAACTATCCACCAAGAGAGACGCCTTGGGTCTTTGCAGTGGGAAAGGGAAGAGGAGGAGAATATGTAACCACATAGAAATTGGGATTTCTTTATAAAGAAAATTTATTCTGGAACCATTGCCCAGTCATATCAATATCTCTATTATGGGCTGGGCGCGGTGGCTCACGCCTGTAATCCTAGCACTCTAGGAGGCCGAGGCGGGCGGATTGCTCGAGGTTGGGAGTTCGAAACCATCCTGAGCGAGACCCCGTCTCTACTAAAAATAGAAAGAAATTAATTGACCAACTAAAAATATATATACAAAAAATTAGCCGGGCATGGTGGTGCATGCCTGTAGTCCCAGCTACTTGGGAGGCTGAGGCAGGAGGATCACTTAAGCCCAGGAGTTTGAGGTTGCTGTGAGCTAGGCTGACGCCACGGCACTCACTCTAGCCAGGGCAACAAAAAGTGAGACTCTGTCTCAAAAGAAAAAAAAAATATATATCTCTATTATGTCTATCACTCACATTCAGCATATGTAATTTGCACTTTGCTGAATGATACGGAGATTTTAGCCTAAGGGAACTTACCAAAGTTACCTATGTTGTAACTCTCAATCTTTTGAATTAAAATAAATCTAAAAGTAAGCACTAGATAGCTGTAATTCACCTCCAGAGAGGAGAGGACAAGGAATTATGAGCTGGAGGGATGGAATCTCAAATCGGTGTTGTTGAATACTAAAACCATCATTCATAAATTAAAATTGTTTACACTCTAGATTAAGTACTGTTTATCAGGTAGTGTTTATGGAATTTTCTGAAATAAATTCTTGTGTTTGAATGGATTTATAATATGCTAAATTCATCACCATAGATTGAATTATGGAGAAGTCCTTTAAAAAAGGTACTTTATCTATTTATTGTATTTTATCAATTTTAAGGTGAACCCCCCTCCCTGACACCCTTCTTTTAATATGTTTAAAATCAGGTTGTATAGATTGTGATTTTTTCAATCAATTTAACCAGTTTAGGCAGTTCTGTAGTCATTGTATGAGCATGTATAAACATCAAAGGTGCCATCATATACCTTCAGAGAATTACCAAAGCCTCTTAAAAATAAAAACAGAAAGAAAGAAAAAAATCCCGGAGACAATAAGGGAGTACTCCTTTAACACTACATTAATAGTTTTGTTGACAGGGCTAGGAAGGTCAGCTAGACCTACTTTAATTACAGAGCCTGCTTAAAACTGGGCACTTTAGTTGTTTTACGGATTATTTTAAGAATACCAGTTTTGATGGTATAGAAGATGATTTTGTAAGGAAAGCCAGAAAATATCGAAGATTTAGTGTCAAAGTGATTCAGAAGATTTGGACTGTGACTTTTTAGGAAAGCACAAAAATGTTATATGAGAAAATCTGCATTTAAATCCAAAAGTTCTTACAATCACTGTGTAATACAAATTCTAAATTATAAGAATGCATTATATTGGTTTAATTGAGTTAGTCTGCATATAGTAATCTGTGCCCTACATTTTGTGGTGTCTTAGGTTGGGTGAAATTTGATAGTAACTTTATTTGTGGATTTTGTCCTTTCTCTGATATTTAATATTCTGTAATATTTTTTGTGCTCTTTCATTATTTTCATGTGAAGTGGCCTAGTATATCCTCTATTCTCACTTACTAGCTCTGTGACCTTGGACAGGTGTTTAATTTTTCTGAACGTCAGTTTTTGTAACTATAAAATGAGATTACATTTAACTAGTGGCATTATTATGTTTATTCCTTATCACTTAAATTCCAAGAGATTGCACATACATTGTTATACTTGAATCTCATAACAACATTTCAAGTAGGGTATTCATATACCCTTGATAAAGTGAAACTTTGGTGTTATTAATATGTCAGTTTTCCTGTCTTTGATCTTCTAGAAAAAAGTTATATTTCAGTAATAATTGTACATAGTTTAATTTACTTAAGTAACAGGGAGTGAGGAGATGGGAACAAATCAATGTCTTTCAGCGTGTAAATGGTTGAGCACTATTGTGCTAGAAGATGTAATGAGGCAGTCAGGTGCTTTCAGCCCTATATAGAATCCCTGCAAATGCAACAGCCACATATACAGTATAAACTAATAAAGGATTATTCTATAGGCTACTTAATACAAATGGCATTGCTATTGATGTGATTTTTATTTTTCCTAAATGATGAACAATTCTTTAATGTTTTAAACAAAAATTAAAATTAAATTTTGTTGATTTATATAGAAATTGTAGGTCTGGAAATACTTATTTTGTCCTAAAATAAAATAGCAAGAATTAAAAAGGGCTGATGTTTATGTGTAAAATGGACTTAGTTCTATGTTAATGTAACTATAAGTAAGTTTCTTATATACTTGAATGTCCATCTGGAAATTTGAAAATCTAGACCATTTTTTGGTGTATAGAACTGTTTGGTGCATTGTAGGATGTCCTGCAATCCTAGACCCTTTCCATTAAATACCAGTAGTCACTAATTGTTTTGATAGTCAGTAAACATTCCCTCTAATTTGAAAAATGGCCTCAGACTCCACTACACTTGTTGGTCTGAGATATGTTAAAGGTGAGGAAATTAAGTACTAGAGGATAAGAAATGATTACGTGACTTGTCATCATGCTTTGACTAAATTTAATAAAAACAAATAATTTGAAACTTTTAAAATTGAGATGGCTATATTGATATGTTCTTATTTTTCCTAGTAAAATGAATGAAGATAAACCTGGTGACTCACAGAACCTTGGTAAGTAACTGTATTTAAAATATTTTTATTACAACAAATCTTTTTAGAATGCTACTTAAACAATAAGAATGAATTCCCTGGTGCATGCTTATTAGTTCATACGTCCACATACTACAGTATAATATGTGTATTCATTTCAACAAAAGTCTATCAGAGGACAACTTATTTGCCAAATTTTATTTGTATATTGTATATATACTTATCAGATATGGTTTGAATCTGAATAAAACAGTATTATTTATTTAATAAATACAAATTTTTCCACCTTTTTTGTATGACTTTTTCTTATAAAAGGGAAAATGCAGGTGAGAACAACTTAAACAATACACAAAAGTTTAACATGAAAAGGAAAACTTACCTCTTAAGGGCTCACAACAATCTCCCCAAATAGATGCAGTCTCTTTTGACCTTTGCTGTTAGTTGTTTTCTTCACTTATTATCAGTATCTATTGACTTGCTACCATGAAAGATGAGGAATTTATGTTATTTTTAAACTCTTCTGTGACTTCTCCCGCATCCACTGTTTTTAGATCTTTTTCAGTTCCTTCTAAAACGATTATACTATACTTAAAACTCTATAGTTTGACCATCATTTTTAGAGATTATCTATTGATGCCACATTATGTTGGATAAGGGAATTTGAACTCCTCTCTCTGCTTTTTTTCCTTACAACTACCTCCAGATTTCTATCAGCTATCCTAGTAGTCCTGGAACTTTAATAATTCATGACTACCTTTATGCATTTGCTAAATACAAATACACCCCTACTGTTGACATTTTTCCTAAGATTGACTCTTGTGTTTTTACTTACATGAATATGTTTGAGGAAACTTTATTTCATTATTATAATAGAAACCAGTATCATTTGCTATAGTAGAAGGTGATCTAAGCAATAAATATAAAGAAATCAGAACAATTTTACTAAATTTTAAACATTAAAATTAAAAAGCAGCAGAGTACAAATAAATACAAAAGTAATCTGCTTATAAATATGCATGCCTGAAACCTGGTTTGCTCTGTGTCCAGGGGTCCTCACTTCTGGGTAAAGAAAGACAAGAGAAGAAGGGGGGAACAAAGGGAAAACCATAGCATATAGCAGATGCACATCCACCAAGGGTTTATCATGAGGATTCTTCCTCTTCTACAGACTCAGCTAATTCACAAGATCTCCTCTTTTGTAATCTCAGCTAATTCTATGTATTCCTCTTTCTCTTGATCACTGTATACATACCTATGGCTAAAAGTGTAGGCACTGAGGATGAAGGAGTTAAAGTGGGAGCTGCTGGTGTAAGATGTCCAATATGAACAAATGCCAATTTGCTGGAGTTAATGTAGATAGCTTGTTTGTATGGGGAAGGAAGAGGAGCTGAAATCTTTTAAAGAGTTAGGAGAAGCTCTGATTTATGGCTTATCTCATTAAGTTGGAGTGTAGGGGGGGCCAATATAGTTAGGATATTTCACAATATTGAATATCAGCTCATGCTGTTTCTTTCCAGTTCTGGAATCTATTTTGTGAGCAGCCTGTTAATAAGTATGGCACTTTTTCAACACATAACATTCCTTCTTGATTAAATATATTAAGGTAAATAATACTTGCTGCTATAATAGGTAAACCCTGGAGTCTTAATGGTTTAACACAATAAAAGCTTGGTCAGGTTACTGTCCAGTGTAGATAGGTTAGGGAAGATGGAACAGAGGAAGTTTCTGCTTCACACAGTCATTTAAAGAGTGGAGCTCCCTCCATCTTGTATAGATCTGTTGCCTTGAGATCCTCAGTCTTACCTCTTCACCTAGTGATTTTCTACTTGTTTCATAAGCATATTAAAAAATTTTTCTGGGCCGGGCGCTGTGGCTCACGCCTGTAATCCTAGCTCTTGGGAGGCCGAGGCGGGTGGATTGCTCAAGGTCAGGAGTTCAAAACCAGCCTGAGCAAGAGCGAGACCCCGTCTCTACTATAAATAGAAAGAAATTAATTGGCCAACTGATATATATATAAAAAATTAGCCGGGCATGGTGGCGCATGCCTGTAGTCCCAGCTACTCGGGAGGCTGAGGCAGAAGGATCACTCAAGCCCAGGAGTTTGAGGTTGCTGTGAGCTAGGCTGACGCCATGGCACTCACTCTAGCCTGGGCAACAAAGCGAGACTCTGTCTCAAAAAAAAAAAAAAAAAATATTCCTTGGTTCTCTAAGACTAATTTTGTGTCTCAGGTATCCTGTGGATTAATTAGACTTGTAGACTGGCATAGGAATCTAATCACTTTTATAGCATGCCTTAAGAGAAAATGAAGTTGGCATTGTAAATATGTTTGTAAGTTGGAGTCTATTATATTTTGCAGCACGGAAGAAAATCTTTTCATTTTTGTAACAGTTTAATTTACTTTTTATTTGTTTTTGAGACAGGGTCTCACTCTGTCACCCCGGGCTAGAGTGCAGTGTCACCATCATAGCTTAATGCAACCTCCAGCTCCTGGGCTTAAGTGATCCTCCTGCCTCAGCCTCCTGAGTAGCTGGGACTACAGGCATGCAGCACCATGCCCAGCTAATTTTTCTATTTTTTGTAGAGATGGGGTCTCATTCTTGCTCAGGCTAGTCTCAAACTCCTGGCCTTAAGCAATCCTCCCGCCTTGACCTCCCAAAGTGCTAGGATTACAGGTGTGAGCCACTACACCTGGCCTATTTTATATTTTATGCAGTTAGAATTAGGAGATCTATTTTATTATTAATAGTTAGCAGATTGGTTTTTTTTTCATAACTAATTCTTAAGTAATATGTATCACTTTTGTTTTTCTCTAAACTTTTAATCACTAATTTACTCCAAAGTATTTTTGTATTATTTAATACATTTAAGTAGATAAATTAATACATATCAAAATTTTCCTTATATTATGTCTTATTTTATTAAATGAATATAATACTTTAAAAAAAGGACTCAACTCTTTTAATATTCTATTTTATTATGAATAGGAAAGGATAGTAATGTTACAAATGGTAATAGAATACTACTACTGGAAGAGATTTAAATACAATCTAATGTTTTTACTTTCACGTTTAAAGTTAGAGATGTTAAATTATTTTCCTAGGGTTCCAGAAGATTAGGCACAGAGCCTAATTTGCAAGTTAGGCTAGTAAACCAGAATTTCTTATTCATATTCCATGCTTTTTCTGGATTCAGACTTTAACATATTTATTAATAAGTATGAAGTTTAAATAAGACTTTTTAAAAGTCAAACATTTCTGTTAACTAGAATTTAGTAGATTTCCCTGTAAATAATGCCCTTTTTTTAAAACTTTTTATATGTAGAAACTTGTATTTATTTATTTATTTTATTTCGGCATATTATGGGGGTACAGATTTTAAGGTTTCAATAAATGCCCTTTCCCCCCTCCCCCCACAAGTCTGAGTTTCCAGCATGACCATCCCCCAGATGGTGCACATCTCACTCATTATGTATATATATACCCACCCCCCTAACTACTAATCTCTTTTGTCTTCTGTTTATTTGTCCAGAAAAATTTTTTAATATGCTTATGAAACAAGTAGAAAACACTAGTGAAGAGGTAAGACTGAGGTCTCAAGGCAACAGATCTATACAAGATGGAGGGAGCTCCACTCTTTAAATGACTGTGTGAAGCAGAAACTTCCTCTGTTCCATCTTCCCTAACCTATCTACACTGGACAGTAACCTGACCAAGCTTTTATGTGTTAAACCATTAAGACTCCAGGGTTACCTATTATAGCAGCAAAGTATTATTTACCTTAATATATTAATCAAGAAGGAATGTTATTGTGTGAAAAGTGCCATACTTGTTAACAGCTGCTCACAAAATAGATTCCAGAACTGGAAGAAACAGCATGAGCTGATATTCAATATTGTGAAATATCCTAACTATATTGGCCCCCCTACACTCCAACTTAATGAGATAAGCCATAATCAGAGCTTCTCCTATCTCTTTTAAAGATTTCAGCTCCTCTTCCTTCCCATACAAACAAGCTATCTACATTAACTCCAGCAAATTGGCATTTGTTTCATATTGGACATTTTACACCAGCAGCTCCCACTTTAACTCCTTCATCCTCAGTGCCTACACTTTTAGCCATAGGTATGTATACAGTGATCAAGAGAAAGAGAATACATAGAATTAGCTGAGATTACAAAAGAGGAGATCTTGTGAATTAGCTGAGTCTGTAGAAGAGGAAGAATCCTCATGATAAACCCTTGGTGGATGTGCATATGCTATATGCTATGGTTTTCCCTTTGTCCCCCTTCTTCTCTTGTCTTTCTTTACCCAGAAGTGAGGACCCTGGACACGAGCAGACCAGTTTCAGGCATGTATATTATAAGCAGAATTACTTTTGTATTTATTTGTACTCTGCTGCTTTTTAATTTAATGTTTAAAATTTAGTAAATTGTTCTGATTTCTTTATATTTATTGCTTAGATCACCTTCTACTATAGCAATGATACTGGTTTCTATTATAATAATGAATAAAGTTTCCTCAAACATATTCATGTAAGTAAAAACACAAGAGTCAATCTTAGGAAAAATGTCAACAGTAGGGTGTATTTGTATTTAGCAAATGCATAAAGGTAGTCATGATTATTAAAGTTCCAGGACTACTAGGATAGCTGATAGAAATCTGGAGGTAGTTGTAAGGAAAAAAAGCAGAGAGAGGAGTTCAAATTCCTTATCCAACATAATGTGGCATCAATAGATAATCTCTAAAAATGATGGTCAAACTATAGAGTTTTAAGTATAGTATAATCGTTTTAGAAGGAACTGAAAAAGATCTAAAAACAGTGGATGCGGGAGAAGTCACAGAAGAGTTTAAAATAAACATAAATTCCTCATCTTTCATGGTAGCAAGTCAATAGATACTGATAATAAGTGAAGAAAACAACTAACAGCAAAGTCAAAAGAGACTGCATCTATTTGGGGAGATTGTTGTGAGCCCTTAAGAGGTAAGTTTCCTTTTCATGTTAAACTTTTGTGTATTGTTTA